CAGAGAGAGTGTGGAGTCTCCTTCTCTGGAGATATTCAAAGCCCGCCTGGATGTGTTCCTGTGTGATCTGATCTGGGTGTCCTGCTCCGGCAGGGGGATTGGACTAGATGGTCTTTCGAGGTCCCTTCCAATCTCTAACATTCTGTGATTCTGTGATTCTGAGACATCCACAAGATAAACTGAAAACTTCCTTTCTTTGTCATCCTTGTACCTGGTCTTTAAGCGAAGCCAGGGAAGTAGCATGGCTCTTTGTAATGGGCTTTGTCAGCTAGGAGACACAAAGCTTTTTCAGACCACCATGAGGCAAAAAGTCTGAAAGTCTCTTTTTCTCCTAAGAGCATCAGTCAGTTTAACTCACTGTCTCCAGGCCTCTGGTATCAAAGGGTCAGTGGTGCCGCCTTCTGTTAGCACCTGATATTCAGAACTGAGGACATGCCTGGAGGTGTTGGAGTGCCTGTTTTGGCTCTTGTGATGCTGACTCAGGGAAGGGAGATCCATTTCCCTGAAGGAACAGGGGTGCAAGCCCCATGGGACAGGGTAGGAGTCCCGCTGTGTAGTGTGTTAGGATGTGTTGATAATCCTCCGCAAGCAAGTTGAGAGGAAGTTCATTGGGAAAAGGCGACTAATCAGAACAAAAACTTGGCTCAAGGCATTACAGGCATATCCAGTTATACATATCAGTGAAAAATTTCATATTATCCAACATTTAGATGAGCACAGGAGGCACAAAGCCTGCCTCAATGAATTTATAATGCAGGAAGACAAGAACTAAGCAGCAGTTAACATATTCAAAGCAAAACATGACCAGAAGTTGGTACCATAAAACAGAAGTGCAGATATTCTACTGTGGTTTTAATTTGGTAAATCTAGTATTTGTGAGTGCTTGTGGCTAACCGTATAACCCACAATGCCTCTATCTCCAAATGAAACTTTGGGGGAGTCTAAGGGAGTGTATCACTATTAATAAAAAGAGTTCAGCCCACCATGTAGGCTTCTACAGCACTGGTCAGTCCAGAGTTAAGGGTGCCTGGAGCCTGGTACCAGGCTGGTACGTTAACAATGGGGGAGCCCAGGGCATCGATTTTCCAATGCACAGGGCAGAGTTTCATCCTTACTCCTTTTTGGAAAGGATCTTCTATATTGCTGCGTGTTTTGCTAAACAGTGTAAGGGAACTGGAAGCTAGCTTACTGGATGCACTTTGGAAATGTAATTAAATAGGGAATTAAGAACCTGTGCGTTAGGCTGTGTAAATTTGCATTCGTGAAGCACAGTAGGAAAATAATGCCAGGAGCTTCCATTTGTAGACAAATGAATGAAATCTTGGTGGTTTGGGGTTTCTATAACAAGCTGAAGAGAATAAGAATAAGTTAAGATGACCCACCCTGCATATACAGAAATTATGTTTTTTCTGACAACATTCAATTTCCACAACTGGCAAAATGCAGAAAATAAAATATTGTGTAAGGAAGCAAATCCGCTGCTGAATCAGAATGGGCCTTTACTGCCTGAATGACAATCAGTTGACATTTAATTATCATGTTAATTGAATTAAAGCAAGCTAGAAATTACTTAATTCCGTAAGTATATGCTCCTGTCAAGTTACTTATTTAATAATTGTTGCTTGCTCAATGGAGGAGGGGAAAATGACCTTACAAGAGATTTCTGAGATGTTAAAAATAAAATTCAATATGCCACTATACACCACAGAAAAGCAACAGAGCAGAAGCCTGCTTCTTGTTACAGGAGAAACGTTATATGTTTTATTGTGAACGATGGGTTTCATAATGTGGCACTGTCCTAAGCATGAAACTCAGAAGAGCTTTAGCCATTTTCTAGAGCACACCTGGATGACGACACAGACCTTTTTCCTCCCCCAAAAGGGATGCAAGAATGCAACTGTTATACTGACTACAACACTAAACTATTTCAGCCTGAGGGCTAAAATTCTCACAGCTGCAAAAAAAAAAAAGAAAAAAAAAAAAAAAAGAGGTTGGGAGGGGCAGCTGACTTGTTCATACCTGTTTGAGGTGCTGCTACAACTGCTGAGGACACTCCCCACGTGTCTCGCCTTCATCAGCCCCCGGTGTACGTGCAGTCTAGCACAAAGGCAGTGAGCTGGTACCCACTGCCAAGGCCACGTGCATTTGCCTTCAGAGAAAAATATTGACTGACAGACCTTGTTGTTACTCTTGAAAATGAACAACTCCCCAGACAGGCAGAATTTACCCTCATTACCAGCGTAATCCAGGGCCCATCTCCATGTCCAGAACTAGCATGAGGATCATCAGCACACTCGTATGGTGACCTAAGCATTGGGCATCTTCAAAAGTGAAACAGCACACAGACAGCGAGGAAAAGTCAAGCTGCTGTCCTCGGAGGACATGCCCGTGCTCTTGCTGAGCCGACCACCAGCCTGTGGGGACCATTCTGGCCAATGCAAAACATCAAAGCAGGCTGGGGTCATCAGAAGCCTTTCCCCATCCAGTAAGGACTTTGTTACTATAATGACCTTCTGTTACGTCGTTACTGTTTGTATGACCATGGAAGACATGGTGTCCATGGGACTAGTACTGGAGCACAAGAAGACCCAAGAAAAGAGGGCAAGACTGTCCATTGAGTATGGTAGATGTATAGGAAGGACATAATCAAGTAACAGTTGTATGATGACATTCCTATGAAGTAGTGATGATTTACAGAATTGTTGTTAGCTTCATCTGGCTGAGTTAACCTTGTGCAATGTGACTATTTGAGGGAAAAGTCAGGTCCCAGAGGCCTCTTTCAATATGCCGTGACTGTAAGAGCTCAGCAGGAGTGTATATTTTTTTATATTTGTGTAATGCAAAATAAAACCCAATGTGGAAACAGTAGATATATGATCTTTTGAAGATCATTATTCTGTGTAAAATACTTTGTTCATTTCTGTTTTTTTCAATGGCTATCAGAATGATGCAGAGGCATTGCAATATACAAAGCGGTACAACTTTTTGTTCTGTAGGTCAAGCTAGATTCATTTTAGTAGCTAGAAACAGGTTGTTGACTAATTTTTTTATTCATTTTCAAAACAAACAGTACATTTCCCTAATAATCACAAGCGATTGCAACTTATAAAGCAAATTGCTACCATTTTTTTTTTTGCAAAACAATAGGAGATCAGTGGACACTGTATATCTTAATCTGGAGAAATTAAAAGGGTGTGCACATCTTAAAACCAATCTTTTTTCCTCTCTGTCTTTATATTTACAATTTTAGAAGCCTAAGACTTCTCTGTTTCCATTATGATCTTTTGTCTCTCTGGGAAGCAAAATCTTTAATCCTTTTAGGCAGCCTCCGAGTTTTGCCAGCCTGGATCTGAGGTTCGTTCTGTCTCTCAAAGCAAAGCCTCAGTGAAACAAAAAAATGTTTCACGAGCACATTGTTTATAAAAATGGTGTTGTACTGGATTCTTCCAGCCTGACGCTACCACTCTCACGTCTGTAACGGTATTGTCCTCTGTGTGTGCACTCTGTGCTGCCGGGTCCTCTCTGTTATGGGACTGCTGGTTTTACTAGAGCATTGGAAGATCAACAGAGATCTCTCTAAAGTTTCATAAAGTTCTGGGGAGGAGATGTACGTCTGAGTTTTTCAGCTGTGGAATTTAGGAGAAGATCCCAAAAATGGTCATAAATAGCTTTGCTTATCTTTGACCTTTGAATCGATAGCTCAGTGAACTGGGCAGTGTGGAGTGGGACGGGGGTGGTCTTTGTTCATGGGAGGTTTCTGCAGGTGCCCAGGTGGTGCTCTTGGCTGGAGAACCGGACAGCAGAAACTCAAAGCTGCGGTTGTATTTTGTCCCATGTTCTGAATCCCAAATGCCCGTGAACACATTAATTAACCTCCGGCACGTGACTTAAAAACTGTGAAATATAACGGCAATACAAAAGTAAATTTTCTTTCCCTTTATTTGTCTCCTTTACTTTTAAACCTTCCACGTAGATGGGTTTTAAGCTCTTCCCTGCAACATGGAAGGCTGGGAGTCAATCCTGCTTAGTTACATGAAGGCAAGATGCTTGGATGACTCCTAAATCTTCCCTTTCAGAAAAAAAAATTATTCCGAAAAAAAAAATAAAAAAAAAAAAAAAAAGTAGTGGGAAACCTATGATAATATTTGCAAAGAGAAATGCTGACTTGTTCACAAATCTGTCACTGACATGGCTAACAGACAGTCATTAAATAGTCTTCATGGGTCAGAAACTGGTTCTCCTCCTGGAAACTTCAACCCTAAATATCTACGTATGCTCTTCTAACATTATGTTACTGTAGCGCTATGAGGTCCTGCCTAACCCAGCAGACCTTGATCTTGAAATTTGGGCAAAATTGAGGTGATTTTCCAAGCTCTTTAATCTATTATGAGATTATGCATGTGCCATATTTAAAATAATTTGGCAAGTTGAGAGAAATGTACAGAAATAGATCCATGCTCCTGAGAAGTTAATTAGACCAATATGGGATCAAGACTGGGATAATGACTAACATTTATTATCCTTAGCAGCTCCACGAACCTTCTTTGACTGCCCCCAACAGTTTGTCAGGGGAAGAGAGAAAGCCTCTTGCCTGATCTGTGTGGTGCCGTCATCTCCTCCTTCACTGAGCTCAAATGTCTTTCTGCATATTCTGATGTTTCTCAGAGGGTTTAACTCATCTCACAAGTGGAGGCCAGTGGAGAGGCCCCTGCCTGCCTTCCCACCTCCCTAAAGGTCCTATTTGCAAGTATGCTATATGCTTCACTTGGAAGAATTCAATGCTAGGAGGAATCTTGTTTTTTCAGTACTGCAGGGCAGTTAAAGGGTGTTTCACAGTTGGAACAACATTTTCTTTAAAATATTTAATGTTTATTATTTAAGCAATATGAGGAGCAAACGCTGTTTGCTCAGAAAGCCTTTATGAAGATGCAGGAGACACACTGGTGATATATAAAAACAAACCCAGATTAATTTACCAATGTGACGCTCTTTGTTTTTAGGTATACAAAAAGAAAACTGAAGCTGCCAAGAAGGAATATCTGAAGCAGTTAGCTGCCTACAGAGCAAGCCTTGTATCCAAGGTAACACATACTGTGTATACATACACACATATATCAAGTGACATGTTGCAAACCATTTCCAGCATTTAGCTGGTGCTGAGCGCCGCAGTATTTAGTGCAAATTGCCTTGTTTGTTAACACCTTAAACTTAGGCGTAAGGTGCAAATGCTCAATAAACACAGTTATCTATCCATGAAAAGAGATCCCTTCCCTTCTGGACACAGAGGCAACACTTCTCCAGGCTGGGAGTAGCATCGTAGTTCCTGAGAGGAAGGAGATACCAATGAAAAGACCTCTATATAACCAACACGCCACGCCGTGCAGCCACTGTTCTACCCATAAGGGAAAAAATCCATATAATTCACTAAATGCCTGGATTTGGTTTGTTTTGGTTTGGTTTTTTTAAGTACTATTTTTGACCTTGCAATCACAGGACGGAAAAAGACAAGCTCAGCTCACATAGCAAATTTTCAGAAGAAAATGTGAAATTCTACTCCCAGCACGCAATTTGCGTGAGCGCAGCATAGATCACCATAAAGCTCTTCTGCTGAACACCCCAGTGTTTCCCTAGTACGTAGCTAGTAGAAATCTTCTAAATTGATTTATACAAACATTCTTAGCGCCCACAATTTTGTAACAGACTTTTTTATTAAAGAGTTTGTAGTAGACTTTAAAATGTGCAGAAGAATATGAAATTTCTGCCCTGTGTCAATGTGAAAAACCAGTTGAGCAACTTTAGAATCATACCACCTGTGATCAGTTGGTTTGGGTCTGTCAAAACAAATGTAGATATATGTTGTTCTTACACAAATAAAATTAATTTTAGAAGTAAAGATGTCAGTATGAAGGACTGGTGTATATGATATGAGTTGAACGTTTTGTTAGTTTTCAATGTTTTTGGGGTGGCTGGTCCTGCACTATACTTCTCTGTATATTATATTAATTAGTACACATTTCCAGGGGAAGACTATATGATGAGCCATACAAGGAGCTTTCATGCATCTTTCGACATTACCTTAGTATTTTGTCAGTGTTTCTTTTGAATTTAAAAGTCTGAAATATGGGTGTTGCCTCGTTCATTTTTGGGGGTTGTGATGATTTTTAATTTTATAGCTACCATCATAAATACTAACGCATTTAGTTAAAGTGATTTACAAGATACCCTTAATTTCTGTCTTAGGGCTGCTTGGTTCTAGAAATACTCATTGCTTTCAGAAAGGGTACCACATGCATACAAACAAATTGTTTTGAAATAGCCTGCTTCTTGGCAAAAGACATGTCTAAAAACCTCAAAATATTCCAATAAGTTTTGAAGAAATGCATGAAGCCAAGTTTTCACTTGTGAAAACAACTTGGATGTCGTTATTCAGCATAACACAGACTGTTTACATAATGCTCTATAGAGCTTAATTTTGAAATGGCACATAGAAAAAACCTGAGATTTTTATTTTGGTTTTATTTTTTTGGAAAGAGAAGAAAGTATATGATGACATTTTCTGAGCTTTGTTTCTAGAAAAAAAAAATGAAAGATTGTTGATCAGTTCACTACATTAAACCATTTCTGCATAGATTTAAATTTGTTGTTAGTCCAAAAAGCACTGGAGCATTTTCTTAACTTTTAAGCAATTATTTAAATTCTGCACACAATGTAATGTTTTCCTCTTGTGTGGAAAGTATCAGAATATAAACTTAATGAAGCTGAGTACTAATTGCTTACTCTCATGAACACACTCAGTGAATCCAACAAAGCTGGCATGTAGCTAGAGCAAGTCCATTTTGGAATAAGGACGTAAAATACCCAGATGTAATATTATATCAGTATATTCTAAATTGTCATTATTAAATATTTATATGGCACCAGAAGAGTTGCAGTTCTTTAGACAAGCATGTAAGCATGAAGAAATATATATAATACATTATTGAGATTGTTTGGAGTCCATCTGGTCTTTTATGTCCGTGTGTTATATTATCACTCATAAAAGCTACTTTTAGGGAACATTATTAAGGTTCCAAGACCTCATTCTCAGGAATTAAGACATGCCAAAAGTAACATGCCTTTTCCAGAAATGCTTTCATACAATATTAATGATTTGCTCGCGTGGTGTGTTTTAAACTTTATGCCATACCCTGTGTGAGTCTCATTTCATACACTCATAATCAGGTGTTCACCCTGGGAGCTCCTGTGTTGTGTTCACTGCATGGTGTTTAACCTTGCTTCTTTACAGGATTTTCTGTGCTGCTCATCTCAGCAGTGTTTTAGTGTAAAGAAATTCTCAGTAATACCCCTTCCCTTCCCTTCCCTTCCCTTCCCATGACTGTGTTATTTGACAAAATCATAACTGAATAGAGAGAAAGAGTCACCAGCATCTTCAGTAATGGGATTACCAGCCCATCTCTAGTACATTTTAAATGCTTTAGTGATGTCTTTATAAAATAGGGCTACCACCCAATAAATAAGGTAAACATATGATTGTGCAAATATGTCAGTTATACATTAAGCCCCATTTATTTATCAGTTTCTTTCCTCTATTTTCTCCTTTTTTATAATGATTGGAATTAATGGGGCTGTTGTAGAGTTTGTTCATGTGTATAGGAATTGATATGTAATGTAAAAATCACATTACAAAGCATTTTATCCTCTACTATGCAGATTGCCATATTGCTTATAGTACTGACTAAGCCTTTGCATTGTAAACAAGTATCTTTATATTTGCCCTTAGTTGCAACTTTTAGTACTATTCAGGTCCAGAAATGCAGTCTCTGGTATCTGGTAATTTGTACAGCATTACATAAAATGCTGTGAATTGCAATTTTACTTTTTCATAAAACAAGCAATTTTTCTAGCTTAACCAGCCTTTTTTCTGGCTGACATTAGGGGTTTTGCTACATCTTTCAAATCTAGATATTTAATACAAACTTCTGTGGATAAATGTTAAATATTTTCATGTATTATAGATGTGCAATTATGTGTATTTGTATAACAATATATGCATATTATGTAATTAACATGCAGAATATATATGTGCATGTAAGTGATACATATATGTATGTTAGCTATAGCAGTACAAGTTTCACTGTTTGAATAGTACAAAGATTTATCTTCCCTGTTTTTTCTCTCTGGCTAAATTAATGTAATTTTCTCTGTGTAGTGACACAACTTCAAGCTTCATGCAGACATATTTTAGCAGCTACGGCTGTAGCTAAAACCTCTCAGCAAGGAGAATATTATTCAAATTCAAACTACGCAAAAGCACATTTCACTACTCGGATGTTGTATCTAAGTCAAAGTGGTGTCCTCACTTGACAATGCAGCAAATGCATTGGACATTGTTCAGTTTTGTGGACAGTACAAATCCCTTGGACATGTAAAATTTCTTCTTGAAGTATATGGCAGATGTAGCTTTCCTAGCCCATCACCTTGCAATTATACTTCATAAAAATCTAAAGGTCATATCTAGAAGGCTGGCATTGCCTTAATGCCATGAGCACAGCAATTTGTAACCAGAGAGTTTCCAGGCACCCAAAATATCTGTGTTACATGTTCAGCATTGCCTATATTGTCATATCATTGAACAGCCTCAAGAATTACAGTCTTTTGAGGCTGCAGTGAATACACATGGAAAAGTTTGAGCTCCTATTAAAATGTTAAAAAAAAAAACCCCAAACTCAAACAGTAAATTTGGCATTGGTTTCTTGTTTCGTATTTGTATGTGGTGAGAGCACTTACCTAATATATAAAAAGGCAAAAAATATGTCAGCTCTCCCAGATCGCGCATCTCCTCACTCCTGAGTAACTGTGGATGTGCAGCGGTGCTCTCTCCACAATTTATTTTCGGTGGTCCAGTGAATCCCAAATTCTTTTCTGCAGGATGCCCAAGCTTCAGATTTAGGGGAACACTGTATCCCAGCTCACTCCTCCCTGAAATAAGCAGCTGCTGGGGTTTAGGACATTTCTTTTGGAAATAAAATTCTGAGTATCTCTTGCCAGAGTGGAGAACTGAACTGAACTGAACTGAACTGCTTTTTGAGACAACAGATTCCTGTATGATATCTAGCCGCAGTCCATGCAGATGTTTTGGAATTCCATAAAACAGTTCAGGCTATTTTCAGTGAAAGCATCATAGAAAGAATAACTAAAAACTGTGGTTATGTTTGATGCATGATATTATTTTTGTAGCTATTAAAGTTCTACAAGGCATTTGGCGATATTTTCCTTAAAACAATAGCAAAAAAAAAAACAGAATGATGACATGCATGTACAGTTTTTCCTTTTGACCTTAAAAGTTAGCATCCGCATCTGGGAAAACTGTAATGTAAGGCTTTTACAGCAAATACTTCATGCTTCTGGGATACCTCATTCTTTATGGATTTATTATGATATAGTCAGAAATTTTCAATGAATCATAAATAAAATTACATACGTGCAAGTATGTGATGTATCAGAGTATCTGGTAAATGAACGTATATATTTATAAAACAGTTGTCTAATCTGATAATAATACAAATCCAACCATCTTCTTGTCTAGCAAGGAAACCAACTATCTCCTGCAGCTGAAAATGCAGAGCAAACTATATTTAAGTTAATGCCATGAATTTGATTTGTGGCTAAATCATGTGAAGCTTTACATTCAGCAGTGCAGAAATGTCTGGAGCCTGAGGCCAGATTTTGATTTGGAGAGGAACTGCGGTTGGTTTGGAAGTGAGTAAATAAAACTAGATTTCACTGTTAGCCTAGTGCTTCCATTTTGGGAATTAAAACACTTGTATCAAATTAAAGTTGCAGACTGTTTGTCACATGTACCCAGGTTACATTCATAAAACATCCATTTTTGCCTACATACCCTGAATGAATCCATGGCAATCCCCTGCAGATGATGACAAAATGTATATTTAGATTTGAAGACGTTCTTTTGGGCCACCTCAGGTAATTATAGATGACGACCCATGTCTTACTACTTTGTTCTGAAACATCGAGAATGTGCCAAAAAGCTTTCTGAACTCTCTGGAGCCCCAGATGTTGT